ATGTATTTATACTATGTATGCGCACACATGGCGGGAAGAGATATTCGGCATATTTTTCAATCTCTTATAAACAGTGGGAGGGAGGGAGGGAGGGACAGGGTAGAAGAGCGAAAACAACTATAAAAAAGATATCTTACTAGGGCTATAAACCTTTGTTGTTTGGTTGTTGTTTTTCAGAAGGGGATAGGGTATTTAGTTGTTGCAGTAATATTAACTTTTTTACAATTATAATTCGCTCTCGTGTGACATTCATTAAGTATATCTTTTACACGACACCGGAAGAAGGGCCACAGGACCACGGAAAAGACTGCAGGGATCACAATCATTTATAACAAGAAATATATGGCACTTTATAAACATGGCAGTGACGCCCAGAGACCACAGAGCGCACTCAGAGGCTTCAGCTTTAGCTGAAGTCAGCAGCTCCTGTTATGTTGCCATTCATCGCTGCCTTTTTTCTGGAAGGCATTACAATGTATACTTGCAGTAGACGACCAATAGTTTCTGTACTACATGTGTTATTGTTCACAAGTACATGAATCTCGACGTAAAAACTACTCAGTGCGGCTTTAAAAATTCCCAGCAGAAAGTCGGCAGCAAGTGCAACAGAAAATGAAGCAAACTACGTCATAGTGATAAAGTTTTTTCTCGGCACAAAAAAGCTGACGAAGTGAAATGAACCCCCCTCCCCCCTCCCCCTTCCCCCCAACGACCTCTATCTTTCATTTCTTTCCCCAAACAAAAGCGTACCTTAAAATGCTATTACACAAGGTGATTGTAAAAAAAATCAACAAACCCCCCCCCCAAAAAAAACAACAACCCCCAGACAAAACATTCCTAAGAAGTTCTTGTACTTTCAGGACAATTGTCATACTATCTAAAAGACAATGTCGATTAAGGGAAAGATCATATTACATCATGTACAACAGATTTTACTGGAGGGCACAAGTAGCCACTTTTAGTAAAATCACGATTTCATTAAAATCAAATGACTTGACTCACGAGTCAATGACATTTTGGTGTGAAATGAACACTCATCACAAAGTCAAAAGCATTTCAACGTCAATAACAGCAAGGTGTCGTTTACGGCTGGCATCTATCGCATTACGGTAAGTGAAAAAAATAACAACCAAATTTAAAAAACAAACAACTCGTAACAAGAAGACATTCACGGTGAGGTCAAAGCCCATCATAATGAAGAGCAGAAACAGTGCTTGGAACCAAAACTGTCTTGAAACAATCAAAACAAGAACACAACAAAAACAACAATTCTCGGAACTCGCTAGCCCCGAACAAACGCCTTTTCTGGTATAACGACTGAGGGCAAAGCCGGGCTGTAGTCAAGGTCATCCACGTCTTCGTCGTCCACCTGGTCCAGAGACATCAGACTGTCCGACTTGGTGGTCAAGGTAACAGTCTCTGCAGCAGCATTGCTCGTCGAGTTGGTCGTCGTGGGGGCGGCATCGATGGTGGAGACTGACCAACCCTTCGGCAGCGAAGAGAACACTTGTGGACTTCTGCCCAAGTCCAGAGATGTGCGTCTGTCGTCTGATTTCCCGCCGCCCCCAGTACTGGTGTCCATGGGAGGGGAATTGCTGGCGTGGCTCTTGCTGATGTCTAGGTCCCGGGTGTTTGGCTGACCACCCGCCCCGTGATGTGACGACTTGCCGAGATCAGACTCGCGAGAGGACTCCACCCGGTTGTCGTCGCGAGACTTGGCACCGTTCTCGCCGCCAGGAGCGGAGTTGTCATCATGACCGAAGCGGCGATGGAGTTCTCCACTTCCGGGTTCAAGGCTCAGTTTCCGGACGGCCATGTTGGCGTCCTTGACTCCGGAACCAGGTACCGCGCTCGCTCCGTGTCTGTCCGCCCTCTCGGCAGACGAACTGTTCTTGATCACGCTCTTCATATTGTTGCTATGGCCACCGCCACTTCCGGTTTGTGCTGACGAATACGACTCCCCAGGGCCCACAGCAGCTTCGCTTTCTCCACCAAATCTGGAGTACGTTTGTAGATCTGTCGCTGTGCAGTTGTCCAGGGAGTTTGAGTTTGCCTCTCTGTATTCCGCCGCCCTGTGATTGGTTATCTGCTCCTGTCGGTCTCCACAGAGCCCCGCCCCTGCTTCGGCCAGAGGGGAGGAGCTAGCCGCCTTCGGGTACGGCCGGGAGCCGAGCGAGAGTGGGGAGCTGTCTCGTCCGCTGTCTCGTCCATTGAGGATGGAAGGGTCTGGCTCCCTCAGGCCTGCAAGGTGCGAGGCGTCTCGTGGCCGTCTCCCGCCACCCTCACTGGTCAGCTGTCCTTCGTGGTGGCGTTTCAGGTGAATCTTCAGTGTGGAGTTTTGGGCCGTGGCGTAGTCGCAGAACATACAGCGGTAAGGCTTCTCACCTAAAAACGACAAAAAAATTAAAACGTAAAAAAATAATTTGAAAAAACGACAACCACAAAGCAAACAAGCAAACAAACAGCC